TCCTTGGGATAGAAAGGTAATTCTCAAATTGATATTTTGATATTATGCTGCTTTTCTTGTTAGGAGCTATTGAGCTCTGATGACCCTGTAAACAACAGAAAGAAACTGTCTGGTCTTACACTATCTTCAAAATTTTTGCCATGTTTGAGTCCATTGTTCCAGTCACTCTGTCAATTTATTTTGTTGATAATTTGTTGATGCACACATATTGTCCTTCTCAACTGTCCAAAACATGTGAGACAAAATCTTACCATCCTTGCTTCTAAAGAGGCCTCTGATTGTACTTCTCTATGACTAGACTGATGTCTGTCAGTTTTTGGTATGTTCAGTATTCTTTTAGAACACTATAATTCAAAGACAACAGTTCGTCCTTGTTATTCTTTATTTGCCATCTAGGTTTTGCATGTCTATATGACAATTGAAAATACCATGGCTTGGGTCAGACACATCTGAATCCTCAAAGGCACATTTATGTTTCTGAACAGATCTTTTGTAGAGGATTTTGCCCAGTGAAATATTTCATTTTATTTATTTACTACTGCTTCCAGATCCAAGTAAAAGAAAATTCTTAAAAACACCACTATTTTCTGTTTTTATCATTATATTGGTTATTAGCCCATTTGTGAGGATTTTTGTTTTTTAAACATTTACGTATAATCTTTCCTGAGGGCTGTAGTCTTTGATTTTTATAAATAACTTTCTGCAATCAAGGCTATGACGTTTACACATAACACGTTGTTAATGAATCTTCCTTCAGTTGTTTCTATAGTCTAAAATCTTGAATTGTTTTCGTTTAGCCTTTAGATTGAATAGGCATGGTGAAATGCTATAACCCTGATGGGCATCTTTCCTGAATTTTAAGCCATGTGGTACTCCCTTGCTCTGTTCAAACAACTGCCTCCGGTCTATGTACAGGCTCTACATGAGCACAATTAAGAGTTCTGGAATTCTCATACTTCCACAGTGTTAGCCATAATTGTTATGACCAATATCTTCAGATATCTTAGCATAGTCACCGAAACTCAGGTAAATATTTTTCTCACATTTTGTTCTTTAAGCCAAGCTACAGCTGATATCATGAATGATATTTCCTCATTTCACATCACTTTCTGGAGTCAACTAGAATTTCTGACAGTACCATATTGATGTATTACTTCAACTTCAAAAATAAACTACTTTCAACAATATTTTTCTGAGATATTCATGGTATTCTTTGAAATTTCTGCATCAGTGAATTACTTTTCTTTGGAAATATGGATCTTTTCCAGTCGGTTGTTCTGATATTTTACAATTAGGTAAATATTACTTCAAGGGAAAATAGAGGAAAAATAATTTAGGTTCTTTTGACATTTTACAGAGTTGGAAGTACGTTAGTAAATATCGTACTGCTTATCAACGTCATTATTCCTATCCCTTTAACAGTTTCTTACATGTTTATCAATTTCTTACCTTTGATAATATTTACTGACTGCTGTTGTACCCTAACTCATGGGGTCTTTATATGTTACGGAAAAATTACTGAACAGTATTTTTTTGTTGTAACCTTCTTTAAAGCAGTTTGGCAGGCCTGTTTGCCGATGGGCCACTTTGTATGGTTTCAAACCACTAATCTTTGGGTTAGTAGTCAGTTGTAAATGACTTACAACAACAAGTCTACAAGATATTCTCTCAAAAACCATCATTTTCATTGCTTTTATAAAAGGAAACAATGCACACCCATGTTTATCATGGCTTTGTTCACAATAGCAAGGAGTTGGAAACAACCTAAGTACCCATCAACAAATAAATGGATAGAGTAGCTGTGGTATATTCACACAATGGAATACTATGCTGCAGTGAAAAACAAGGAACTCTAAAAACCTAAGGTGGTATAGCTCTGGTGTGTCCACTTGCCGTACAGGGGTAACTTGTGCTTGCTGTGAGGCTGAACACTGTGACAATGATGTGTCAAATGCATTAATGGTTGGTTACCCAATACGGACAGTGTGGGCTAGGGCTCCCTGATTAAAACAAGCTTGGAAGGAGTAACATCCATTTCTGTAATAGCTTGCCTCCGGAAACCCTATGAACCTGGAGAGAGGATGAGAAACACACAAGCGTTGAGGACTCTCCTTCATAGGGTCACTATGGGACTCCACAGCACTTAACAACAACAACATGCAATATTATTCAATATGGGTGATCCTGGAAGACATTGTGCTGAGTGAAGTATCTCAGTCACAAAAGGACAAATACTGCATGTTGCCACTGTTGTGACAGCACTGACATTGGGGGTTGGGGGAAGACTGAGAAAGATGGATTAAATAATGTATACTGCATTGAAACAGATGAGGGAGAAAACTGTTTAAGAGGTATTTTTGTCATGACAGGAGTCCAGAGTAAAGCTGTCATAGTGGAGTGGACCTGGGGGGAGGGATTGTAAAACAATGAAAGAATTTTTCTTTTACTTTTCCAAGAGAGTAGTGTACTGGGGAGGAGGGAGGCTTGGGAGGGGAGAAAGTGCAACAATGAATGAATGGAAATCCAAAGTCTCTGTAAATTTTCATTGAAATTAATAAATTTTTTTAAAAAAAGAAAGGGAAAAAGTGTTAAGAAAAGGAAACTGAGGCTTTCAAGGAGAAAGTGATTTTGCTAAAAGCACACAATCAGCTGCAGAAATTTTATTTGTATACCATTGTTTTTTATTATGTATTAAGCCAACTAGTATTGATTTATTCTAAATTTTGTGATTTTTTTTCTTTCTCTTCGGTAAGGAAGCAGCATTTTGACCTAAAGTAAGAATCCAGAACAAAATCTACGTAAGAAAATTAGATTGTGGTGAAGAACTGCAGACATCTCCTACTGAGAGTCTTTGAATCATCATAAACAGACACTTTTGTGTTAATCTCTTAAAGCCAAAATTGGCTTTCTTGTGTTGAATTTTCAGAACAATGGTCTCTTTATAGAGGATGCTTAATAATTTGCACTGAACTTGAAATGAACCTCAAGGTTTTAATTTAGATCAGTGAGCCAGTTTCCTAGGGAATGAATTTGCTTTTCACTACGTGTAGGCATTTATTCCTAATGCCTATTTTTACCACAAGGAAGAAAGCAGAGTGACTGTGGGTAACTCATTTACCTTCTATGATCAGTGGTTTTCAATCTAGAGTAAGTGCTTTTTTGTTTTATCTTCCTGATAGCCTAGAAAAAGAAGTGATGTGAAAAGGTATTGGCAATACAAAGAAATCTTATTTCTCTAATTCAAATCCTCATTGATAGCTTGATTTCCATTCTTTCTTGATATAGCCACCTCTTTTTGTGGTAATTAAAGATATCCATTTAGTCTAACTTGACTAAAAGAAGGAAGATTTTGCTTCATTACTTAAATTTGAGGAGTAGGCTGATGTAATAATTCACACGATTTTGTCAACAGGGTTTCTCTCTTTCAGTGTCTCGCTGCCTTAGCTGCTGTGTGCAGTCCTCAGCTCTTTCCTCTTCTTGGCTTCAGATCTCCACGATGTGTAGCAAAGATGACCATGAACAGCTTCAGGCTTATATTCTACTAGTTGAATGACTACATTTGTCATGTGCCTCTACCTGAAGAACCAATTCCTGTTATCTGAGGACTAGATTTCTCTGACTCAGTACGCCTCAGTCCTAAAGAAGCTGAAACCATGTGAACTACAGGGAAGGAAGTGATTCTTTGAGGGAAAATGGAGACATTCATACTAGAAGAGTACTTTGAAATAGTAGAAATGATGCTGTATTGAAAAATACAGATGTCTCTCAGGCCTTACCTAACCTTGTTCCTGCCTCTTAAAATCCTACTAATCTTAAAGATTGCTTTGAGAATCTCCATTTTAAAATCATTGCTAATTTTCTAATCAAATGCAATTTTTTCCACTTTTGTGATAATTTATCATTTTGTGCTTCTCTTTTACTGTTTACTTTGGTAAACTTGGTGTAATCACCACATAGTCATATTTTGATCATTCATATGCATTTCATCAATTTTCTTAGACTAATACAATTAATAAATGGCAATGCTTTAAAAATATGTTGTCTATTATCTTTCTCTTTACCTAACTTAATTTTTCTTTTTCTTGCCCTTCCTATCCCTGGTAACCTTCCAGAATTACCTATGTCTGTAAGCAAATCTTTCCTTAGCTTTTATAATATTGATCTTTTACAGTTGATAGTCCTTTTATGCCTGATTTATTTTGCTTAGCTAAATAATATTTTAGAAAAATCTACGATATGCAGTGGGGTTTTTTTCTGCATTCTTTTTTTCATACTTGTCGGTGGACTATTCTTTGTTTTTTTGCTGAGTTCATTTTGTTTATGATTTTTGTTATCGTGTCCTTGCTATTATTGTTTCAGGAATTTTTAAAATATTGTTATTGTGATTTTAACAAAAGTTTACAGAAAGGTTGGATTTTCATCCATTCATTGTTGCACATTTTCTTCCTTAGTTTATTTTGCAATGCACCTTTTATTCCAGATTGCTATCATACAAATTATGCATAATCATATATTCTTTTTTAAACAGTTCTTTCCTTCATCTATTCCATTGCAGTGCTCATTGTCTATCCACTCTGTATCAGTGCTTTCTAAGTGTTTAATGATTTTTTAATGAAAAAATTTTCTATTATAGTGCCTCTTATTTGAGGACAAAAATTGTTTAGTTCCCTTCAGATATTCAGCAGCATTCAACAGGTGTCTGAATTAAGACAAACTTTCAGTAAATATTTGTTGAGTTGACTTGTTAATGTTGTATAAATTATGTGTTGATAATATAAATAAGCACAGAAGATATTATGTATATAACTCATTAACAGAGTCATCTATTAAAAGTCTAACAGAAGTGACATTAACTCTTCTGAGAAAAGATTTCTATTTAAGTAAGAAAAACTGATATACTGCAGCCTGAGGGGTGTGATAGATTTTTAGAAGGCTAACTGGAGGTCCCTGGACCTGTTCAACTTACACTAATTCTATATTTTTCCCCTTTTTCTCTCCAGTTGTCTGCATTCACATCTAAACTTGTTCCAGCTATCCAGGATGCCCACAAGAATTCCACACACTCTGGAAGGAAAAAGGAACTTATGGTGTTAACTGCACCCATTTTGATTGAGACCTACACTGGGCTGATGTCATTCATTGGAAATCGCAATAAGCTTGGTTATTCCCTTGCCCGTGGGAGTGTTGGTTTTTGAGGCTTTTTCTGCTATATAAGTGCATCTATTGATACATGGTTATTAAAGATTTCATCTCAGTCACTGTATTTTTGGACTTTCCCCAATAATAATTAATTACCTTTAAATAAAATGACTTGATTTTTAATACTTAGTATCTTAGGAACTTGAAAAAACTCTCTTGGATACCCAATTCATACAACTTAATAGAATGATCAAATTTCATAAACAAACAAACAAATCACTCAAATCATGGTGATGCCTTTAATTTATGTTTTCAAATGAATACCTGATTGTAAACTCACAAGAAATCTCATAGAGATGTAATTTTTTTTAAATGACTGGAAATCCTAAGTCTTTGTAAATTTTCATTAAAAATGAATACATAAAGTTTTTAAAAAGAGATAAAAAAATTAAAAAAGGAAAAGTAATTTTTAAAATGTAGATATTATTCAAGTGTTGGTATTAAGCTTCTCATCATGATTTCTCTCTCCCTCTCAGGTGCTTTTGCCTCTTTATTTTAGCTACCATATATAAGGCTGATTTCCAAAAATGCTTTCTCAGTGCTGACATTTCTTCTCAGATATAATTGTGTATTCTGTTTCTGGTCATCTCCAGAATCTCCAGGAACCGTGGAGAAGAGGCACAGAGCTGATGTAAGCAGCAAAAGCTCTGAATTCTTCTGTGTCTCTGAGGTGATCCCTGTGGGACCCAGTGGATCACAGGGGGTTTTAATGAGCACAGTTGTGCTCTGTTCCCCGTGGTTTTTTTCCTTTTATTTTTAATTTGTTTCTCCTCACACTTAAGTCTACTTTGAAAACCTGTGAAATTATCTCATGTGCTTCCCTCTCTTTAAGAGTCTTTTCTTTGTATCATACTTTTCATTTTCTTTTGAAAAAAAAAACTTTGAAAGATATTAAACACAAACCCTAATATTATAATAAAGTTTTGTTGGGTTTTTTTCAGCTCCTTTTCTTGACCCAGGATTTAAAATGGAAATACTTGAATTGATGGTAAAATTATGGTTAAATATTTTTGTCTGATAGTTTGTTTCTTCAATTTTAAACATTGATCCTCTAGCATATACAGAAACATTAGTTAAATGCAGACATTCAAATCCAAACCTTGAATATCCTACCTTTTGTTGTCTTCATATTTATTTTCATGAGTATTTCCCATCCTCCCTCTAGTCTCATTTCCCAGACCCCGTATTTTTTTTCCCCCCAATCACAATGTCAAATATTGTTATAATCCCCCAGGCAAGGAACTTCTATCAAGACTGTAAAAGGAAATGTTGAAATCCTTAGCTGTCCTATCAACAGTAGTGGAATGGAAAATCTTGGATTGTTTTGGCTGTGATTTTGAAGTGGGCATAAATTGGCAAATTATTGCAATACTGTTGCCCCAAATTCTTCATCTGCTGCAAGAAAGTGGCATTTGTTGATAGAAGCATTTTAAATAGCCAGTACATTCTTTGGTGTTATCACGTAAGGATCAACTTGACAATTGACTTTTCTCTGCATGTTTACTTCCTTCTTAATTGAAGACCTGTTGCCAAATGACCTTCTAAGGACACAGTGCAGTATCCACAATGGAGGAAAGTCATAAAGCATTAGACATATAGGGTCAATATGAGTCAGAACTGACTCAGTGTCATCTGACAGCAACAACAATTACAACGGCACACACATTTCATGGAACCAAAAGCTTCCTAGGGTGAAGAAGAATAATCTCCAAGATGACTTGAAAACTATCTTCACATCTCACAAAGATTGTCACATGAGATAGTCCTTAAACTGATTAGCCAGATCTAGAAAGGATTGTAATAAGAGAGGAAAAGAAGGATTGGAGGATAGGAACAATATGACTATAAAGTACTTCTAATAGTAATATCTAAAAGTGAAATGGTTTACTTCTTGAAGAAGTGAGGCCTCTGTTACTTGCAATATTCAAGGAAGCAACAGATAAAGCAAGAATTATTAAAGTGATTGTTATGTTAAGTTTGGAGAGATGAATGTTCTTATCCTTGAAGTCGTAGGGAAGTCCTGTCCTATTGTTTCTTCCAGTCAGTATATTCCCCCAAAACAGTTCTTAATAATTGTTGTCTACTACTGAGTTAAGACCAACTCATAGCTGACCTTGCAGTGGGTTTTCAGAGACAGTAAATCACATGAAAGGAGAATATCCAACTCTCTCCTGTGGATTAGCTGATGGCTTTGTACTCTGTGCCTTTGAATTGACAGTCCAGCTTCTTATCACTAAGCTTCAAGAGCTCCATTCTTAATAATTAGATAAGTAGAGAAACGTTTATTTCGGAAGGATCTAATTAATCTAGTGAAACCTTGGGAAACTAACTTTCTTAAATTTTAATTTTGTCATCTAAAACATGGAGACAATGATGTCACTTTTGCCTACTTATGAACACTGAGAAGTCAATGAAATCATATTATATTAAATGAAAATCAGTGAGTGCTGAGTCAGAAGAAATATGAAACTTTTGAGGGAGAAAGTGTGGAAATATCCAAGATAACCAAATTAATTTCTTTGCATGAACTGTTGATTGGCCACCACGGACTTCCTAATGATTGTTTTCTCACTTGACAATTCATTTGGGACTTTTATTCTTAAATTCAGTAGATGCTACCAATGCGGAAATGTGTATGTATACTTAGACTTTCCCGCCAGAGAATCAGCTGAAGTGTTCCAGCAATGCACCAATGTTTCTCAGAAGGCAGTATAAGTTTTATTGAGGAATAAGATCAAACGCAAAAGATAAGGCATACAGAGAATGACATCACAAAATATCATGACTGGAGCTTGTCTTGGACTGATCTTTCTGACACAGGAACAGCCTTCGGATAATCCTCAGTCTATCTCTTTTCAGAAACTTCTTACACGTTCTTGTTGACAGATTGCTCAGACTTCTGATGCACTCTGGGAAATACTAATTGGAAGCTTTTCTCCCATTCAGTCGGCACTTTCGGTGTCCATTTGTCACCTTTTTCCACTCTGGTGGCGTAGTCTATAGACAATCATGTACTAACTAGCCCAAAGACTATGCTTCTCAGCCAGTTCAATCCACCAGTGGGTCTGAAGGAGAAATACGGGCAAGATCCTCACACATTATTTACAGCTTTCGGAAAATCTGCTAGAGGGTTAGCTATGAGGAAGTTCTGATAATGGCAATGAATTTAAGACTTTTTTTTTAAGTTCTTCTGTTCTTTTCTTCTTTGTACTGGATTAGTTTCTGCTTGGTTTTCTATCACAGGGTGTGAAGTGTATAGGCATAGAGACACAGCAGATGCATTATCTAAGATTTGCAGGAAGGGAGAGAGAATCAGGAACCACTGACTCGGGCCCTCAGAGGGTAACCAGTCCTTCCTTGGGGGGTTTAACTTTTGATGATCTCTTTGGCAGAAAAGTTTCACAAGTCAACTGTTTTAGGATCTTTTGCTTTGAGGTTCATTCTCAGTATCTCTTTACGCAAGCCTCACTTGGTAATTCTATTCACTTAGCCCTAGGTCTAAGGAAGTACAGATATGAGTACAGATATGTAATGTTTGTAGTTTTTATTCTGTGAAGTAGGACATTATGGTTGTTGTTCCAAGACCATATTTACTATACATAGGCAGTACCTTTTTGTCGTTAAAGCCCCATAAAGCCTATTGCATCAATAGGAGCCAGCTGGAGAAAATACCAGAACTGTATCCACTGCAGATGTGAGGCCAGCCTTGCTGGGTGTACAGGCAAGGGGTCAGGCAAAGGCCACAATGGCAGCTGGATCGGAAGCCACAGTGGTGGGTGAAGAAGTAGCCTCAGGGACCAGGTGGGTGGCGAGTGGGTTGGAGGTGCTGGAAGCAAAATTGGCAGTAGACGTGTTGGCTGCCACTGCCTGTAGATACAGCCACTTCTTGATCAAATGCAGCTGCCCCTGTTACCTCCTCAGCCTGAAGCCAGGAGCCCAAAAGTGTCCTAGGCCAGCCAGCTGACACCAACAGTACAGAGCAGGAGTGGAGAAGCTCGTGGCTGTTTCATAGTGGGAATGGAAGGCTGTATAGCTATTGGACCAGTGGACGCAGGCAAGGGGAAAGAAAAGAAGAGGAATGCACAGTGGGGAATGCATCCTGAAATCATTCTATGGGTTGGGGGGTCTCTAAAACCAAGAGCGAGAAATAATGAATAATAGGAGTGCTACTTTTCCTTCAAGAAAGAATGAAAAGAAAACCTCTTGGAACTATGTGTAATGTGGTTCAATAAATATGAAACAAAATTACAGCAATTGGAAAGGAACAGCTCAAAAGCAAAAGATGGATGTTTGGCAATACTGGAATGAGACCCTGAACTCTTACTGGCCTTCTGCTTTTTCTAGGGGTAACAGCTCCATTTTTAGGTAAAGGCATATTGTCCAAATCTTTCCTATTTAGTGTACCTTTAAATCAGTATAAGATAGTTGGTGCTTTAATTCTAACATGAGGAAACAGCAGGTCACAGCTGTGTAGGGGAATTTCCAAAAACTGTCTATATTTTCATAAAAGCTAAGGTCACTCACAGAGGTCTCTGGTTGCCTAGCTGATCAAACAGCCCAAACATAGTTGCGGAAATCAGCAGCGCCAGCAGATATTTTGTAAGACAGGTTTACCTCTGCCTGGCATTTTGTGGGGCAAGAGAGGGGAGGGCATAAGTATTAAATTCAAGCTTAAAAGCTCCTTAGAAATTCTTTACACACAGTAGACCAAGCTTGAGGAGAGGGGATGTCTTGTGCCAAGGGGAAGAAAGAGAGGGACTAATGCCTGTGGTTTTCAAAGGTTAAAAAAGAAGAAGGAGGAGGGAAAAAAACAATCCCAGGTATTTGCAGAGGGATGAATGTACATTGGCTCTCAGCCAACAATCATACAAGGGCTTGTGCCCACATCCTGTAGCTGTGGTTTAGGGACGCTGCTCATGAGTGACTTCTTATGCTTAGTGGCAGGAAACTTTAGTCACTGATGTGTAAACTCACCTTTGGTCTGCACCTCCCACAA